GAGAAGATAATTTCTATAATATCTTATTTTAAAATTGATATTTAAATGGTGGCCTAACATATTGTCTATATTGGAGAATGTCCCATGTGTACTTCAGAAGAATATGTATTCTATTTTTGGTTAAATTGTTCTGTATTTGTCTGTTAGATATAGTTGGTTTATTGTGTTGTTCACGTTCTCTTTTTCCTTACTTATTTTCTGTTTTATTGGGCTATTCATCATCGAGAGTGGGGTATTGAACTCTCCACCTATTATTGTGGAGCCATCTATTTCTCCCTTAAAGTTTTTCAACGTTTTCTTTGGATATTTTCATGGTCTGTTATTAGGTTCATAAATGTTTATAATTGTTATACCTTCTTGATGTGTTGAACCTTTATTAATATACAATGTACTTCTTTGTCTCTTGTAAGCTTTTTGATTTAGAATCTATTTTGTCTGATGTGAGTATAGTCACCCCTATTCTCTTTTTCTCATTATTTGCATGTAATATCTTCTTTCCATTCTTTTACTTTCAACGTTTGTGTCTTTTGACCTAAAGTGAGTCTCTTGTAGATAGCATATAGTTAGATCATTTTTTAAAATCAATTCTGCAAACCTCTGTCTTTTGATTGGAGAGTTTAACCCATTTACATTTAGGATAATTACTGGTAAGAAGGGATTTACTTCTGTCATTTTGCCATTTTTTTCTATATGCCATATAACTTTTTTGTCTCCCATTTCCTACATTACAGACTTCTTTTGTGGTTAGTTGATTTTTACTAGTAGAAACTTTTAAATTCCCTTCTCTTTCCTTTTGTGTATATTCTATAGCTAATTTTCTTTGTGATTACCATGGGGATTACATTAAACATCCTGAAATTATAACATTTTAATTTGAATTTATACTGACTTAGCTTCAATAGCATACAAAGACTCTGATCCTATTCAGCTCCATCCCATCCCTTTTGGTTACTGATGTCACAAAATTATATCATTATGCATTATGTATCCAAAACATAGAGTAATGATTGTTTTATGCATTAGCCTCTTCAATCATGTAGAAAACAAAAAATGGAGTTACCTCTTTGTGCATACCTTGTTTGTGTACTTCTGTGCAAGTACGTCTGAGCGTGTACCTCTGTGTATGCCTTTGTGTGTGTACCACTGAGCATTTACCTTTGCTTGTGTAACTGTGCATGCACCTCAGAGTGTGTACCTCAGTGTGCGCCTCTGTGTGTACTTCTGAGCACGGACCTCTGAGTATGTGCTTTTTAGCATGTACCCCTGTGTGTACCTTCAAGAGTGTGAGCTGAAGTGGGCCCTTTGGGGGTGTGTATGGCCTCCTGAGGCTCACTGACCCCCCTTTGCTCCCAGGACTCGTACCTGCTTGACTACTTCCTCTTTCTGAACCGCTACTTTGAGGTGGGGGTCCCAGTGTACTTTGTCACCACCTCGGGCTACAACTTCTCCAGTGAGGAGGGCATGAATGCCATCTGCTCCAGTGCAGGCTGTGCCAACAACTCCTTCACCCAGAAGATCCAGTACGCCACTGAGTTTCCTGAGGAGTGAGTGTCTGGCCCTCCTGGCCCCTGGCCTGCTCCCCACCTGTCGCCCTCTTCCCCCAGTCCCCACTTCCTGCCTGTTCTGTCCCTGCCCCGCTGCCTTACTGCCACGTTCCTGGGGAGTCCCAGTGTGGGGGTTGGGCCACAGAAAGGACCCACTACCCTGCCCAGCTGGTCCTCCCCCATTCCTCCCCCTCTCTGACCCGCAGGTCTTACCTGGCCATTGCTGCCTCCTCCTGGGTGGACGATTTCATTGACTGGCTGACCCCATCCTCCTGCTGCCGCCTTTATGCCTTCGGCCCCAATACGGGCGAGTTTTGCCCCTCCACTGTCAGTAAGTGTGGGGCCTGGGGGGCTCATTGCCCATCACAGCTTGGGGAAACTGAGGCAAGAGAAAGGAAAGGACTGGAGAGGCTCTCTCAACCCCTCCCAACCCTCCTGAAGGATCTTTTGGGGGCAGGGGCACAGGCTTGGCCCCAGGGACAGGCACTCTGTGAGGAGCACCTATGTGGGTGGCTGTGCTGGACCATGGGCCTTTAAACACTTATGCCCTGTCACGTGTGGTATCCCTGCTTGCAGAGCACGGGTGGTGGGTGGTGGGGAGTCAGACTGGAGAGCTGAGGTTGGCATGTGGCCCTGCCACCCAGAGCAGCTGCATTTGTAGGTGGAGTGAGACATCCCTGTGGGGCCTGTTTCTTTGCCCCAACGGTTTCTCTTCACCCATTCGTAGGTGCCAGCAATTTCTGTAACCAAGAGGGGAACTTCTCCCACAGTCAGAGATGACAAATGCAAATTTCCCTAGAAGTAACTCCTTGAGGCGGGAGTGTCTGGGGGACCTTCCATGGGAATGGAGGAGGAAGAGCCGGGCAGAGCAGGAGCAGCTGGCCCTGGGGTGCCACTGCCCAGAGCCCCCTCTCCCTGCAGATTCCTTGTCCTGCTTGCAGAACTGCATGGACTTCACGACGGGCATCGTACGGCCCTCAGTGGAGCAGTTCCACAAGTATCTCCCCTGGTTCCTGAGCGACCCGCCCAACATCAAATGTCCGAAAGGGTAGGCTTGGGAAGGGCCTTCTTCTGTGGAGGGCAGACACGTGGGCCACAGGAAGGGGATGAACGCAGGGGACAGAGGAGGCCATGAGGGGCCTCCGCGGGGCAGCTGGGAGAAGCCTTGTCCTCGGCTAAGCCTTTGCCCTGGCTTCCCCTCGCAGCGGCCTGGCAGCTTACAGCACCGCTGTGAATCTGAGCTCAGAGGGCCAGGTGTTAGGTAAGTACAGCCTTGCCTGGAGGGGAGGACAAAAGTGGGCTGTCTGAGGGCCCTGAGAGCCCCAGGAATAGCCTCTCTCCATCTCCCATATTCTCTCCTTCCTCCTTTGTGGGGGCTTCTAACTGCGCTGGGCCTGGCAGCAGGGCACCCTGTTTCCCAGTGCCATGTTCTCAGACTTCACCCCTTCTTCCACCCTCAAGTCCAGGTTGGCATGAAATTTGTGGAATTCTTTCAGCAGCTGATACCATACTGGGGGGCCCCCACACCCCGAGCTGAGCACCTTTTCTTTCCTGCACAAACTACACCCAAATGTCAGCAGTGGGGAGCTGGCTGAATGAATCAGGATACCTTGCACAGCGCAATCCCAGCAACCGTTACAAGTGACAAGGAAAATGCAGTCGGACTGGCGGGGAAGGAGCCACGAAGTACTGTCAGCTTAATACAGCAGCTGGCAGGGGCAGGACACGATGCCCTGGGTGGAGGGGCTGGCCATAGCTCTGAGCCCACGCTTGGCCCGGGGGCCCTGAGGGAGCTGCTGCTGGGATGGGCTGTGGTCGGTGGTGGGTGGGGGAGTTTTTGGTGGATTGTCTTGCTTTACATTGAAGCCATTCACGGTTTGAATTACTAGCCACAAACTGACCAAAGCTCGCTGGCTCCACCTTCCCAGCTAAATCTTCCTTGAAGGTCCCATCTTCCTGGAAGGGGAACCTGCCACGCCCCAGCCCTGGTCCCTGGGCACTGCAGGCTCGGTGGGGCCTGTTTGGTGGGGCCAGTGTGGGCAGAGGGGAGTGGGGGTCTCAGTCAGGGACAGAGGAGCAGGCCCGGGAGGGAGCAGATGGGGGAGCCCATCCTTGCGACCTGGGGCAGGTCTGGGCCGACCTCTGACCCTAGTCTCCTTGTGGGTGCCCTAGGTTAGTCTAGAGCAGCGCTTCTCAAAGCAGGGTCCCCTGGCCAGCAGCATCAGTATCATCTGGAAATTGTTAGAAATGCAAGTTCCCAGGCCCCGCCTGAGACCTTCCAGACCTGAATCTCTGGGCTGGGGTGACCATCTGTGTATGAACCAACCTCCAGATAGTCAGAGCCCTGGAGGGAGGTTCCCCAGGCACCTCTCCTGCTCTGAGATTGCGTATGTCCAAGAACATTTCATTTTTCCCTGATACATGTGATCACTGTGCACCATCAGAAAATCACCTTTATTGTATTTACCTGGCAGGAGCCCTAAACCGCGGCAACAATTCAACTGTTTGTGAATTCAACTGTGGTCATTTTTCTGTCTTCCTTTCTAGTCATTTCCTATAGGAAGATGCAAATTTGAAAGCTAATTAACCTTTAAAATCCAAAATGCGTATCTTGAAACCATACAGAGAAGAATCTGGGCTCATCAGGGAGATCTCTTTAGACTCCAACCATCAAGGCTCAGGTCCTTCATCTGTAAAGTGGGAAAAAAAAGAAAAAAAAAAGGCTCAGGCCCAGACTCTGGTTTCCCACAGCATAGGACCAGCTATGGAGTTTGTGGGGATGGTACAAAATAAAAATTCGGGCTCATTGCACAAAATTTACTAAGAATTCCAAATGGTGGTGGCACTGTCCAGGGTGTTCTGAGGGTGTCCTGGAATGGACTCTGACCTTTGCCCTTCCCTCTCCCACGGCTGTGGCCGCCCAGCCTCCCGGTTCATGGCCTACCACAAGCCCCTGCACAGCTCGCAGGATTACACAGAAGCTCTGCGGGCAGCTCGGGCGCTGGCAGCCAACATCACCGCCGACCTGCGGAAGGTGCCCGGGACAGACCCAGCCTTTGAGGTCTTCCCCTACACGTGAGGACCTGAGTGGCCGGGGTGGAGGGAGGTGGGGGGTGACTGCTGGGGACAGGAGGTTAGGGTGGGCTTACAAGAGGTTGCTTGAGATGAGGACCAGCTTCAGGTCTGGAGGCTCCAGCCGCCGGGCCCTGGGCCTGTCCATTTCTCACACTGGTTTGCTCCCTAGCATATGCTTCTCTGAGCCTTAGCATTCTCCTTCTGAAGTGGGGGTGTCCTTCCCCCTTAAGGCCTGCGAGGCCTGTGCCCGTGACCATGCTTTGCACTCTGGCAGGATCAGCAACGTGTTTTACGAGCAGTACCTGACCGTCATCCCAGAAGGGCTCTTCACACTCAGCGTCTGTCTTCTGCCCACCTTCATCGTCTGCTGCGTCCTGCTGGGCATGGACCTGCGCTCCGGCATCCTCAACCTGGTCTCCATCGTCATGATCCTCGTGGACATTGTTGGCTTAATGGCCCAGTGGGGCATCAGCTACAACGCTGTGTCCCTCATCAACCTGGTCATGGTAACCCACCAGGCACAGGCACCAGGTGGCCCTTAGAGGGGCGTTTGGGGATCTGGCCACATAGAATACTCCCAATTCTGTCTAAAATCTAGACTCCTGCCCCACTGGTACCAGTGGGGACCTCTGCCTTTCTCAACTGAAGCCCCCTCTCTGCCCGCAGGCGGTGGGCATGTCTGTGGAGTTTGTGTCCCACATCACCCGCTCCTTTGCCATCAGCACCAAGCCCACCCAGGTGGAGAGGGCCAAAGAGGCCACTATCTCTATGGGCAGTGCGGTGAGTGGGGTGGGGTGGGCCATCCTGTGTCCCACCTGATGCCCTGTGCCCTGCCTGAC